CTGTTTTTTTCTGTATTATCTCTTTAAATCTCACCCATGTGTTTTACAATCTTAATATTCAAGACTAAATTTGAGGAGAGGTTTGAAACTTGAGACTAGCAGCAGGAGAGAAAATACACCTGGACTTGCAGCTTATTTTCTTATTTGACATTTACAGATTTATGTACCTTGAAATTCTCTACATTTATACCAAATTTATTGAAATCAAACCAGAACTGAAGGAGAGAAACTTTTTGTTTGTTTATGGCAAGTGGTAATAATTTTACGTTTGTATTTTACATGTACATGTATATCATCTCAACGAGCTTCTTGGAAAATAAAGTAATATCAAAAATGCAAAGAAGTTCTTTTCTCTTTGACAACCAACTATAGACTGTCATCGAGAGAAGTTATTTTAAAACAAAATTTAATATTTTAACTAAATATACAACAACTTAGTTCCTCTTATCTAAATTTAATTAAAATTTTGTGGAATGGTACAGTTAGTCGTTCGAATTACATGTGAGACTATTTGGGATAAGGAATGTGACTGGAAAAGCTATTATTAAAATGATATACTATAATTTTGTCTCCCAATTTCATACTTTGCAGCCGTATATTGCATTCCATTAACATACTTCATCCTTAATTCATTCTCCAGCATATACCAGATTTAAAGAGATACATTTGGTGATAACGTCAGCAATGTTATGAAATATTTTGTTCCCATTAAACAATTGAGAAGAATCAGTCAATGATAATTGATTCAATTGTAGATGCTGAAGAGCTGTATAAACCCAGGGTCGATTATCGAAAACCTTGCATAATGAGCGCGAGAGACAATTACAAAAGTCTTTGCCGGAAATGTCTTGTGTTAGTTGTCTTTTTTCGGGTAGCAAGGATGTCATTTCCTGGTGGTCGCGTGGGTTGTTAAGTGTCGCCATGCAGTGCGGTCCTGATATAATAGCCCCGCACTAATGGGTTCTAATGGCATCCAAGTGTCTTCAGAAATATGAGCAACATTTTACTGAAATTATTTCAAACTTTATAAATGCAATATAATTACAAATGTTATGTGCTGTAAAGAGGAGGATAAAATATGTTGTAAACGTTGTGTAAACAGTGATTTTTGACTTATTCTATTTATTAGACACTATTTCTAGTGTTGATTGCTTTGACTCGTTAAATACAGATATCTACGATTAGATACGGATATTCTTCAACTGCAGTTTGTCATTTTATGTATTTTGTATTGTGGGTAAGCATCAAGGCGAACCATAATTCGTACTTTGAACTTATCCAACATTAAAGTGGACTACAAACTCGACAATCTGCTTGGCCAACAACAATAGTTACATTTATTACATGAAGGAACCAATTTTTCTCATTGATCAGAAAGATTCTTAATATATTTCACAATATAATGTACCGCATGTAGGATTAGAAATACAAGGCACTGAAGGCATTGATTTGACAGGTTATTATGTGTAGAATTACGCACAAGTGATCGAATAACACATCGTATTGTCAACCAGAAATGTCCTAATGAGACAGATAACCAAAACAACGCAACTTATATCTGTAAGAAGGGACAAACACTTAAATCAACTTAGCTTAAAAAGACATTTGCCATCTTAAACAAAATCCAGCAAATTCCTGAGGCTTGATATGAATGAAGGTTGCATCATCTCTGGTTTTGATCAAACTCTGTGTTGGTACGAGGTACGAAATTCTACAGTCCTACAGCATTAAAAAATCACAAAACCTAAATAACATATAACTTTTGAACGATGTGGCCTTGATCATATTCAAACAACCGTGGCTAAGAATCAAGACAGACCTGTTGGTCACACGTTATCTTTGTGTCAAGTTTGACCTCTTGTGGTCCTCCTAGACCTTCAAAGATTAAAACTTCTAAAACTGTGACCTTGACACTGTTATGGCTTTTGTTCAGGCGCATACAATTTTGTTATTGGCCTATACAATAGGTCAATAAATACACGTATCGTCTAATTTTACCGATTGTGTCATAATAGAGGTACACGTCGAGAGTAAAATAGTGCAGCAATGGTTTTACTTTTAGGTTCATTTATCCTTTGACAGAGACACTCACAGTAGTCCCTATATAAAATTGTTGAAAGGCCATTTTTGTCAAATTTTGCCTCGTAATGTATGCTGGAAAGGAGATGGGCGAACCTCGCGTGCAGAAAGCCTATAGCTTCAGATATATAAAAATCATATTCAATTTGTGAATTTAGTATTTAGAGTTAAGGAGGTTGGATCCTGCCATCAAAAGTAATAAGAATTTTTTATCAAGTATATTTTTAGAATTTACAACACATAGCTTAATTAAAAATCAAAACAAAAAATGGGGGTCAATGCGCTTCTTTTGGCGCTACAGAGCATTTAGTTTGACCTTTTTGCACTGTAAAAACGTCTTACACATAAATCAATTTTCAAAGTTTTTCCTCCAATATTTTTTATTCAAATAAATTACGAGAACAAACACAGTCTTATTTCATCTTGAATAGACACATTAAAATTTGTGACAACGAAAAAATTTTCAAATTACTCCGCATGTTCAATTATTTGACCTTTTTGCACTCAAAAAATTCATTTTTCTGGCATCAACAATTTAACAAGCAAAAAAATCATTTGAAGTAATGCCATTTTACTGAAATTAAGAAGAATGGTTAAAAATTTCTTATATATTCAGAAAAGAAAATTAAAAGTGGGGGTCTGTGTTGTTAATTTTTAGATATTACTAAAATACTGCCAATTATAAGCTTAAATTAGGGCTATTTTTTCTTGATTTTCACAATATCTTTTAAATTACTTTATTTGTCCAATTTGATGATAGAATTCATGACAGTTTATTTAATATATAATTTAGGACCAGTATAAAACAGTTCACTGCACAAAATAATTCTGTGTGCAGACTGCATGTAAAAATAGGAATCCAAACTTAACATACTTTATATACTTATAAAGAGAAAAAATGATCATTTTCTTCTAAAAAAAACCTTCCGCCACAAAATATAGTTCCTCACTTAATGCTTTTGGTATGGAATTTAATCATGGAGTTTTAACTGAATATAGTTGAATTGGCATTGTAGAATCCAAATTTATTGTAAGAATTAAAACATTATGCAGAATCTTTTAAATATAGGTTAAGATAAAAATCTGCTCAAAAGCTGAGGAGCGAACCTCGTTAAGTTCTCATTATTGAAATTTATGAAATTATGATGAACAAAACTTCTACCAGGAAAATTTTCTCTGCGAAATTTATTCTTTCATTAAATAAATAATGTGTATTCGCGGGGTTCGAACCCTAGCAATAAAAAACTTGAGTATCATTTTCTTTCGAGACTAGCACGCTAACCACCAGACTACACAAGTCCTGATGAATATAATGGCATTTACATCATGTTTGTGATATGACCCTTGACTTAATGGACTTCAAGTTTTTCTTGAAAAGATGCGAATGTTATGCCATGGAAGTATATATTTAAGGTATAGTGGGTCTTTGCTCCATATTTTTGGTAACTAAAAATGTATATTTTTATGCAAACTTAGAGGATTAACTTTCAAAAAATGGAGCGAAGACCCAGTCATATCGACAAATAGAGTTATAGCATGAGAAAATGACTCTTTTTGCTCTCTTTAGTGTGTGTATAATATTTCATAAGCAAATAATTTTAATCTTTGTGAGATTTTTGCAAATTGTAGAGATTTTACATAAAGTATATTTTAATGTTAAATGAAATATCAAGGAAAATTTTGACATAATTGAGATTTAATTTTTCACCTTCATGTTTGTCACACTAAAGGCTTTTCGCTCGTCATGTTCACCCATCTTCTTTCAGCATTTTTTACTCAAAACTATTTCTTTTAGAAAATTCAGTAGCGTAAAAGCAACAATTGATACGAGTGAACAGAAAGATGTCTCTTATCCACCGCTAACAGCAGTTTATCTTACAACAAAATAATCACCATAAAACAGGATTTGGTATTTCAGAGTCGGGTGAAGAAGACCTATATAAGCCGCTTAATTAGCGGGCCCACAAATCTGTTTATTGTCAAAGCCTTAATGGACATCTTATCGCATTCCGACAAAATGCCTTTTTGTTTCACTCCAAGACGTCATTTTAAAATGGCCGGTAATGTAATGCGTGATGACTCTTTTTTGTTCCTTTTTCTCAGCATAAATCGGTTTGAGAAATCTGATTAAGGGAGTTTATGGTATAATCTGTACATCAGATGATGGTTTTATATCAAGAGGAAATAGCTGTAATTCGCCGCAGAATCGCCAATCCAGAACAATACTGGCTTAATATAACAGAAGACAAGCCCATCTTCTTTTATTAAAAGACCGTTTTGGCATATACAAAAGAACAATATGCTGAGCATTCAATCACTTATTCTTTGAGCTAGTGGGTCTAACTTTTAGATTGAATACAAGTCTAAATCATAAAGAGCTACCATAAAATTGATTTTTTAATACTGTCTTTTAATTATTAATTCGCTTCAAGCATGCAACATTTCAAAGAGCAATAAATCAGAGACACTTAGATTAATTTGAATGGATTGGTTTTATGGTCAAAATTGTACTTGTAAGAAGAAGCTCATTTTAAAAAAAACTTATCAATTGAATTTTAAATGTGAATCTATTTCTTTTTTTTTATTTAGTTTTGTTGTAATCTGCAATATCGGGTCCATCTTTAATTTCGTTAACCTATGACAGTTGAGTTTTTAAATGGCAAATAATAAAAATAAGTTAAAAATAATCCTTATAGCAAATTTATGTTAAATACAGGCCAAAAAATTACCTTATTATTATTAGTTTATTCTTTAAACAATTTATATTGTGCAACGTGTTCTAACGATAAAACAAGGAATAAAGGTCCAGAAAAGGGGGAGAAGCATCAAGGTCACCATCCAAACCAAGGGTAAGACTGAAAGGGAAATATTGCACAAACTTACACAGTAAGCGGATATTATCGTCTCTAATGTATACTTACTGCGGGTATTTGCAGATGCTTCCTCAAGTAGGGACTGTATATTGTAAGAGCTTTTTACTCCCTCATCAAACATTTTATACCAAGGTTCGGATGCATTTTTTTTAAATCTGTGAAAAATAGCTTCCATAGTGAAAAATTCTGTGCTTTTACTCCTCTCTCGGTTAACGACATTGTTATGAAACAAGAGACCGACGGTGGTCCAGTTAAACGTTTGGATGACTTCAAACACTACTTCAGCCATCTTTCCGTACGTCGTTAACATACGGGTAAGTAACTTGTATTCATTCTTTTTGTCGGAGAAAGCCTGGACAAAAGCCCCGGCGGATATGACGGGGATGTTCCAGTAAGGTGAGAAACGGGCGACAGGAGCCACGGCGAAGTCACAGCAGGGACCCAGGTAGACGTCCACGTCCTTCTCAACATAGAGGTCAATCGCCCGTAAAGGACCCATGGTCTCCGAACACTCATCGTCTCGGTAATTAATAATTATGTGATGATTCGGAAGATACTGGCGAGTTTCTACTTTTTTCACGGCTATCTCTATTGCGGGGAGAACTTTATGTTTCACGAAAGGGAACTTCCCTTCCCCAGGAAGTAGCACCGCCAATTTCACCGTGTTGTTGATTCCTTGTGAGAAATGAAGCGTATATATTCCCGTCAGAATCACAAGTCCACGTGCAAGAATCATGCTGAGATGGACATCAAATATTAGACTGCTGTTACGACATTAGCAGTATCTATCCGTCATTAGCAAACTCCGGGAAGGAAAAAGCCTTTTCTTGTAGTTTGTGTCCCGCTATTTAAATTCAGTTTCATCTCCCTCCACACTCATATTTATAGGATTTAAGTAAACAGGGTGACCATACTTAGATCTCACAAACCCAGATTCTTGCTAACAGCTGTTGAATAATGCAACAATGAATTGTAATAGACAAACACTGGGGTGATTATGGTAGTCAGGTTTCTATGACGCTTGGTCAGAATGAAGTGCAGCGGTTAAAAAATACCAGCACGCTCTAGCATTGATTTCGTTAGAGGACTCGCTCAATTAGCAACTGTCCACTCCGTGAGGAGACGAGACTGAGAGAAGTGCGCATCCCTCTAACAAAGTAACCGGGATAATGACGACTTGTTTGTTATTCCTATTATAAGCTCTAGTTGTTCCCTTCAATGATTGCGAGAACACATAATAGTCAAGTGCGGCTATCTGTTGAGACAACAACACAATGCGTTAGCACGCGCCCATTGTATTGCAGTCTTCATCTATTTTTACGACATATTTTTTTAACATGCGGAAAAAATCTCATTATATACATGAGTTCCTATCAACACGGGGAAATTCCGATGACTGGAGCTCGTCTCGGCTTCAGTTTTCTGCTATTTCTTGATGCTGCTGTAATGATGTCACCAAAGCTTTTTTTTTTTGTTAATGTGTGTGTACACCGGAAAATCAATTCCAATATTTTTTTTTTTATTAAAATGCACAATTTTGAAAGTTAGTTATGTACTTAAAAATCCAAATCCCTTTTCCGTGACAAATAATTAATTGCACGGGGGGGGGGGGGGGGGGGGGGTGGGGGGAGGAGGAGGAAGGGAAAATTATACTAAAGAAAAAGAACAAAAGAAATTAGCACTATCACAAACTACTAAGATAATATTTACACAACTTTAAAAAAAAAAATAAATAAACCTCTGAATCATCAAAATCATCAAAATGTTTGTTAAATTTCTATAGGCCCTATAAGCTGGGGAGATGATTATAAAATATGTACATATATTTACAAATAGACAACAATTATTAAAAAAAACCCCATTATACTTTATAGCAGAAACTATGTAATTATCCTTTATTTATATTAGGTAATTTATAAGAAACCTCCATCAAAGTAATCATGTAATTAAAATTCTGGACAAATGAGGAATCTACTGTATACATTTAGCTTCTTCCAATTCTAACTTTTTGTTCGCCTTTTAATGGGAGGAATCAGATCTCATGATGAACAATTGAATTCTGTCACCAATATATATATTCTGGAGTTAGATGACGTGACATTTGTAGACAATTGTCTTGTTAACCAATTCTCTGTACAAATTCAACAATAAAATTCTGATTGAATCTTATTCCTAAGAGCGTTTACCGGAAGCTTCTACTTCAACAAATAGTGGCAAGAAAATGGCTTACAAAAATATCGTGCCGCAATAGACAGACAATAATACTAAACGTGCTCTATTTCAGTAAGAGACCTAGCGAAATTTTCTACAGAATGGCCCTTATTCTTTCGTAATAGAACATGCAATATCTCGTATTTGCCTTTGATGATTCAATACAAGTAACTGCTGGTACCTCCCAACAGAAGGCTTGTAAGAGTCGTGCCCCAGACGCGCTTAAATTCAATAAACAGCTTTATAATCAATATTTCAAAGAAACAACAAAGTGTTTGACATTTGATCCTCCAATGTTTAACACTTTTTTGTTAAATGCTCCTCCTTTCATGCTCTTCAACAGAATACTATACATGTACATCAACACTGTAGACTACATCAATGCTGGGGGAAAATCATGCCTTTGAAAATGTAGTTATGTAAAATAAATGGCTGACCTTTTCACTTAAACCACTGATAGAAATCCTATGTACTCCTGTTTCCAAATAATCCTTAGCTCAATCAAAACTCACATTAAAAAAGAAATCACTCCAAAACTCGAATTAAAATAGTAATCACCTCAGACTTCAGAATGACTAAATCAAAATTCACAATTTAAAAAAAAAACAAAACTTTAGACTAACTTAATCATAACTCAAATTGAAAAAAGAAATCATTCCAGAGTGACTTAATCAAAACTCACATTAAAAAAATAATCACTCCAGACTAACTAAATCAAAACTCACATTAAAAAAATAATCACTCCAGACTAACTAGATCAAAACTCACATTAAAAGAAATAATCACTCAAGACGAACTGCATCACAACTCACATAAAACTAGAAATATGTCCATAGGACATGAATGCCCCGCCGAGGGTATATTAGTAATGCAACATGAAAATTTGTATTAGTGTATGAAATTTGATGAAAATATCTTGAATAGTTTCTTTAAAATTGAAATTGAAATCTAAAAAGTTTGATATAGATGATAAATTCTCACCAAATTATGTATAAGTGCATAAGCTTACATAAATATATCTTAAATGGTTTCTTTAAAATTAAGCAAAATGCAAATTTAAGAAAAGTGAGGTCAAGGTCCCAGAAAAGTTCAAGGTCAAACGTTTTTGATGCAGTTGAATAGTTCTCATAAATACGTATCAGCATATTAAGTTTGATAAAAATATTTTGAATGGTTTATTTAAAACTGAGCTAAACACTAATTTAAAATAAATGAAGTTAAGGTCAAAGGAAAGGTCAAGGTCAAAAAATGTTGACGCAGTTGAAAAGGTTACATCAGTATGTATTAGCATATGAAGTTTAATAAAAATATCATGAATGGTTTCTTTAAAACTGTGTTAAACACAAATTGAGAAAAAATAAGGTCAAGGTCAAAGGAAAGGTCAAGGTGAAAAAATATTGATGCAGTTGAATAGTTCTCATCAGTATGTATCAGTATATGAAGTTTGACACTAATTTAAGAAAAGTGAGGTCAAGGTCAAAGGAAAGGTCTAGGTCAAAAATTGTTGACGCAGTTGAAAAAATTACATCAGTATATATTAGCATATGAAGTTTAATAAAAATATTATGAATGGTTTCTTTAAAACTGTGTTAAACACAAATTGAGAAAAAATAAGGTCAAGGTCAAAGGAAAGGTCAAGGTGAAAAAATATTGATGCAGTTGAATAGTTCTCATCAGTTTGTATCAGTATATGAAGTTTGACACTAATTTAAGAAAAATGAGGTCAAGGTCAAAGGAAAGGTCTAGGTCAAAAATTGTTGACGCAGTTGAAAAGGTTACATCAGTATATATTAGCATATGAAGTTTGATAAAAATATTATGAATGGATTCTTTAAAACTGAGCTAAACACTAATTTAAGAAAAGTGAGGTCAAAGGAAAGGTCAAGGTGAAAAAATATTGATGCAGTTGAATAGCTCTCATCAGTATGTATCAGTATATAAGTTTGACATAAATGTATGTGTCAGCATATGAAGTTTGATAACACTATTTTGAATGGTATCTTTAAAACTGAGCTAAAAACTTATTTAAGAAAAGTGAGGTCAAGGTCAAAGGAAAGGTCAAGGTAAAAAATATTGATGCAGTTGAATAGCTCTCATCAGTATGTATCAGCATATGAAGTTTGTTAAAAATATCTTGAATGGTTTCATTAAAACTGAGCCAAACACTTATTTAAGAAAAGTGAGGTCAAGGTCAAAGGAAAGGTCAAGGTCAAAAAAAGTTGATGCAGTTGCATAGCTCTCATCAATATCTATCAGCATATGAAGTTTGATAAAAATATCTTGGATAGTTTCTTTGAAACTGAGCTTTGAACAGAGCTAAACGCAAAGTGTGACGGAAGGACGGACGGAAGGACGGAAGACAGACATGACAAACACTATATGCCCCAGCCATATTCATGGCGAGGCATAAAAAAATCAATTACGGAGTGGTTTAAATCAAAACTCACATAAAAACAGAAATCACAACAGGGTGGCTAAATGAAAACTCTTATCAAACAAAGAAATTACGCTAGAGTGACTGCTGTGTTGGGTGCTGAATACTTATTTCAACAGTGTACTGATATGTAGACAGGGTAATGATATATAGACATTGTACTGATATATAGACATTGTACTATTAATATATAGACAGTGTGTTGATATAAAAACATTGTACTGATACATAGACGGTGTGTTGATATGTAGACATTGTACTGATATATAGACATTGTACTGAAATATAGACATTGTACTGATATATAGACATTGTGCTGATATGTAGACATTGTACTGAAATATAGACATTGTACTTATAAAAAGACATTGTACTGATATATAAACAGTTTGTTGATATAGAA